TCTGACCTGTGTAGCTCAGTGCTGTTGTTGGAGTTGCCAAGCCTCCCCCGTTGTCCTTGTCTAAATTTCATTTACTTACCCTCAATAATACATTTTTTCTTTACTCTTAACTACTATAAAAGTTGCTACATTGCCAACAGGTTAACAACTCCTGGTCTGTGCAGACCTTGGGGGCTGGGATCAAATCAACAGTGCAGGGTATGGATAAATCAGTGGCTTGCAACCTTTTTTAGACTTGACACACTCTTCCTTAGACTCAAGGCCAGTTGGGAAACACCAGTTCTTAAGTTTCCACTCATTTGGGACTACAGAAAAACAGAGCAATTTGCAAATAATTCAGAAAGACCACAACAGGTCAGAATGTTATTACCACTATGGATAACTATATGAAATCTCTAGGTTAATCTTGTGAATCATGTTTGCACACCTAGTGTGTGCAAACCTGTGGCACCCTTGAAAGAACCTGAAAGCACCCAATGGTGCCACAGCGCCATGGCTGAGAAGCACTGGTCTACACTGCAGTCACACAAATAGAGAACCCCAGGCTAGCTCAGTAGCAGTCCAGTCATGCAAGCAAGGAGTTCTATCCTGTGGAGAACCTGAGTAAGTTAGCCCATGCTGACCTCTAAGGCTGCTGTACCTAGATTGCTACTGGTACACGAGTGAAGGTATGGCTACACTGACAAGTTCCCATGAAGCAAACTAGAATATTAATTTGAAGGACATCAGTTATTCTGTGGTAACCGTGTCTGTGTGCATACTCTTACCCTGCAGTAAGTGCGAGACTGTTTGCTTGGCAATGAAAGTAGGGTAAACTCCTCTGTACATATTGTATAGCGAGTGTGTGCACACAGGGAGTTTTTGTGGAATATATGTAATAAGCGTAGAATAAGTGTAATACCTTCAGCCCCACACTTGCTTTGCAGTCTCTTGCTTGTGCAATCATACCCCGAGCGTACTGTAGCCCAGAGAATTCTATGCAAGGGAATCACAAGTTAGAGAATGGCTCTGTTGTTCAGAGGTGGAATTGCCCAGTATTGCACCCCTCCCACACACCACGTGCCCTCCTTTCAGCAGCTCTGGCTCCAGCACTGGGAATGGCAGAGCAGCAGCGACAGTGCAGGAGCTGCATCTGTAGTTTGTTGTTGCTGGGCGAGATGTCACCTCCTTTTTTACTGCATTGAGAAGCTGAAAAACTGTTTTTGACAGTAAAGGAGGCGACATCTCCCCCAGCAGTAGCAAACCTCTGGCTGCAGCTCCTGCAGCGCGTGTTGCTACTTCTCTGCCCTCCCCACCCCATTGTCAGAAACAGAGCTGAAGCCATTGCAGGGAAGGTGTGAGGGACATGAGGGCAAATGAGGATGGAAAGGAACCAGTTAACTTTATTCCAATACCACCCCCATTAGGCAGTGCCTGGAGCTCGTGCCCTGCTCACCCACCCATCTTTACACTACTGCACTGTCTTTACACCTTTCCCCTTTCCACATACCCCCCCCAGCCCCTATTCCCTCTTCCTTCAGTAGGCAATGGCATAGCAAAAACAGAAAATTCTGTTCCAGCCTACGTATAGGATTACAGAACACTAACAAAGCTAAATACCCAAAGATTTGGCATGCAGGTGCACAACTGAACGACTCAATACATTCCAGTAACTTGAATTTAGCTTTGTAAATGAACCATTCTGCAAAGTTACCAAAGGGAGTCATGCAAAAACATAGGTTTTGATAAACATTAAGGTCAGAGATCATAAGGAAGTTGTATTTCAAAACCTAGTTGCTTAAAAGGAGTCCAGTTGCAAGCATCCAACAGGCCCAAATATCATGCAGTTTTTGAAGTGCATTCACACATGTCTGCACTTTGAGATGGCTTCTAGTCTGATGAAGCAGAATTATAATGGAATACAGACTTTTTTTTTTTTTTTTTTTTAAATCAGAGGTAGTCATGTATTACAAGATCCATCAGCTGCAGGGCCCCTATTGTGCACACACACATGCATACATAAGGAAGCTATTAACTTATGAAGTTTTAAGCATTCTGGGAAAATTAACCAGCGAGACTCGAGAGCATTGTTAAAAGGGGGTTAGTGAGAGTCAGATTAAAACTTCCCATTTCCTGTGTTGTGCCTGTGGCATGTTGGGACTCAATTTCCATCACTTCAAGGCCTGATATGCAGAGCCTCTCTCACGAGACTAAACAACTTTTCAAGTTTTGCTGTTAGCAAGAAAATTGTAAAAATCTGTATGTGCACTTGTATAATTTCTTCAGAGTGAAGTGAGCCAGTCAAGACTCATAACCAACCTTGTTATGATGCAAACATGTTTTCCTATTCCCCAAATAGTGCACTGGGGGCACAGAGTAAAGACACTCAAAGAAATAACACTCTTACCAGCCACCAAAGAAGTACTTTGGGACATGCCAGAAGGAGCTTCTCCTTCATGGAAAGGGGACATATACATTCAGGTTGCTTTAGCAAAATATCTCCCACTGAATAACAGCAGCAAAACAAAACTAGGTTTACAGAAACAAAAGTTTAAATCCTCCCATCAGTAAACAACTGTGTTTTTATACATGTAGTCCATGTTTCTCCCATAGTTTTTTTTTTCCTCCCCATAATTCTGAAAAAAAAAAAAAAAAAAAAAAAGACAAAAAAGGAACAATCACTGGCAACTTGGAATCAAAAGGTTTTGCAACACGTTCTTCACATCTTAGTTCTCCCAAAATGGATTTCTTCACTCCATCATCCAATTCAAGTTACCTTTTCCTTCATATTATCAGGGCCAAACACAAACAGCACTCTCATTTTAAGCTTTAACTACGAAACAATACTTAGCTCTGACAAGTTGCTTTTTACCCACAGAATTCAAGCCAATTTACTAGGGGATATACAGGAATTAAGTTATTTGTGATACAGAGATGAAGGCATGCTGCACAATTTTAGTTTCAAGCACAAAAACAAGAGAAAGAATACAAAAACATCACTTTATTAAAAGCTAAAATATTTTCTTCCCTGTTAGTGTATTTTCAGAGAGGGCAACCCTGACCATTAACAGTGGAATGGTTCCAGTGCTATTAGCTGCACAAACCCAACGTGCTTGTTTTAAAACTAAAGTAAGAACAGTTCACAGACAGGTCAAAGCAATCCAGTTGGATGGCTCTTCCCCTGTATGGTATAACCACCATCATAAAAACAGAAGCATTCCTGTGCTTAGTTACTAACTGAAAAGAAGTCAGTCAGTTCCTGACTGAGAAATGCAGCTGCATACCTCAAGCACTGTATTTGTGGTGGGCGAAAAAGGAAGGGAGTGAAATGCCGTGCAGGCAGGGAGGACTATTTGCTATCTGTCTTTAAGGGAAGTGAGGAGTGTGGGAGAACGTACAGCACAAAACAGAGCAGTGTGGCATCCATAGGTCAGGGAGTTGTTCAGAAAGTGCCAGAGGCCAGGGTGACGCTACAGATTTCAAATCGTCTAGAGGTGAGATTTCCAGACAAAGCTGAGCTATCAGTGGCCTCTAATGAGGACACAGTGAAACCAAAGAAACTGCACTCTTACCAGTATTAACCATTTTGTTTGTAGGAGGTGGTTTGTCTTCCTTTATCAGTAAAAAAAGTGCAACTTTGCCAGTACAGCTGCATCTGTATTAGGAGGATTTTGCTGGCATAAAACACCAGTGAAGTGCTCCTGCTGTGGACGTGTTGCCCAAGGCCCCCCTAACATGCTAGCATTACAGGCCTAGGAGTTCTGCAAAAGGCACGAAATATGACTGCAGTGGTATCCTGCTGGTCTAGCTTCCTGGCCATCTGTTTTGCAGCCAGTCCCCTCCCACAGCCTAGATGCTTTGGTTGTGCTGTTGACAAACAAGACATTCTAATTCAGGGTTGGGCAAAATATGGCCTGCAGGCCAGATCCAGCCCGCCAACTGATTATATCTGGCCCATGAGTGGCCAGCCATCAATTCATGGGATCCAGCCTGTGATCTACCTGATGCCAGACAGTTGGGGCTGTTTCCATCATGCCAGGTGGGCAGGTAGGACTGCTTCCGCCCAGCGCCGATACAACAGTCAGCTGTGGACCTGGTAGATGCCCTGATACCCACCCAGAACCAGCCAGCGATGTCCACAGCTGATGCCAGCACCCATCAGGAGCTGCTTCCACACCAGGTGGGTGGTGGCATAAACTGTGGGCATGGCTAGCAGGTTCTGGGTTGGGGAAGGGATTGGAGTGTGCTACAGCTCTGGGTGGGTTAAGTGTGGCCCTCAAGAGGACACCAAAACTCATTAAGTGGCTCTCTAGCCAAAATAATTGCCCACCCCTGTACTAATTTCACAGGTTTAAAAAAAGTGGGAGGGAGGGGGCCTGCAGGCCACTATTCACTCTGAAGTGATCAGAAGCCCAAGATTTGAACCACTAGTTATAATAACACTGGGGAGAGGAGTGGGGGAGGAAGGGGAAGGACCTTTTCTAGCTACTTGGAAGAAAATATTCCTCACCTCTGGACACTCCTGGTTAAGTCCAAGCATATTTCAGAGGCATAACTTAAATTTGATATCACTGATATGAACCAAGCTTCTATACAATATATATTTTTGTAGTTCTCTTTCACCCTCATCAGTTATGTCACCATGTTTCTATACTGCAGACACTTCGCAGCATTCCCCACTAGCTGTTCCATCAAGCACCTGGCTTGCCTTTCAGTGCAGTAAACAATGGTTCAAAATGGAGGACCTATCATATTAAGAAAACACCCTCCCCTCTAGTACCTGTGTTTTGAAAAACACCTTTGATTATTCCACTGAAAAATAAAAAGTAAATTCACTTCTCTCAAATCAATGCCAATTTGCGTGTTCAAACTGGCCTTGACAGTAAAACTCAAGTTAATCAACTTAACTCTGATTCTCGCATGCTAGCAGCTTTGCGCTTCCAACACTGCAGGGGAATGCTTACATTTTCTGGGAGCCCTGTTGTTTTGGAAAAGGACTTAAAATAGTATGAAGGTGTTTTTTTAATGTATTTATTGTTTTTTTTATAAGGCCCTCTCCTCTGCCTCGAAGACAAAAGCCTAAACCCTGAGAGCATTCTTTTACAGCCTGCAGAGGGCAGCAGTATACCACCAGAAGAGTATACAAGATGGTGCTTTAAGCATATCTGCCCATATAATCCAACAAGCAGGACTTCTACAAACCAAGATTTGGCTGATAGAAATATAATATGATCCAAGTAGAATACATCCCACCTACACTCAAAAGAAATGAAGCCCTGCAGTCCAGCTTCCAATAAAACAATGCAGAAGCTGGAGGAACCTTGTATCTACTGTATACTCCTACAATTCTTTGCTCCAGTGCAAATATCAGAGAGGTTTTTGGCATGTATTATGCTTCTGTGGTGCAGGGAAGGGAAGGCTGTTGGTCATGAAGTCTCACTCCCACACATGCAGCCGAGCTGCTTTGGTATCAGATCAGCGTAGGAGTTCTATGCATACTCGCACTGAACTGACACTTGTCCAAGTATAAAATTCAGTTGGACCTTTTCATGAGGGTAGATGGTCAGCAAGAATTAGCTTAGGCACTTTGGAAGGTAGGAGGAAGAGGGTGAACTGGAAGGATGGACGTCTCACCCTGCTTCTCAAGCTTATGCACTGCAGTCACAACTGGAATAAAGTGCTGGGCTGGAGGATCCCCCTGTGGTTGAGAGGCAGTTCTACTCTACCACAGGGAAAGGTTATAAACGTCGCTAACTGATGTGCAGCTCCCATAGTCAGCAGATTTTATCTTTCCCCTAGCAGAACGTACACTCCCATAAAATGTCACGGATCCAATTCATGTGTCCATGTTAGGGGTGCTTACTTTGGTTTGCCACATGCACACACTTCTCTCCCTGTCCATGTAGGCATCGGGTTCTGGGTAGCACCCTGGTCCACCCCCTCCCACAATTAAAAGGAACTGCCCCCCTTATACACATCTCTGTGCTTGCATATCCTGCGCACTCTCTGGTCTCTGTGTGAGCAGCCAGACTTTGACGACAGAGTTCTTCCAATGTGGGCACAGTCCTGCGTGGCCTGCGCAGGGGTTCAGCGAACACCAGGGGGGTTCCCCCCATCTCATCAAAATGGATAGGGTTGGCCCGAGTTCCTGCCACCACTATCTCCAGCAGCGTAACAACGCAGTCTGAGGACCAGTCCCTGAGCCAGAAGTAGCCCTCCTGGAAGGAAATCCGGAGGCTGACTGGGCCCGACGGCATCCGAACACTCAGGCTGAATAGAAAGTTCCCCTGAGCGCTGTCCCGCACCAAATAGGTCCCCACTGGCTCCTGCTGTAGCTTGGCATGCGCCTCACTCACAGACAAGGGACCCCAGTAGAAGCCGCTGGCCTGTAAGATATTGAGTGATCGCTCCAGGACCTCCCACTCACAGCTGCGAAAAACCCGGTAGTGTGTGGGTAACCTGGATGATGCTGGGGCAGGGAGAGTGCTCCGATGCTGCCTTTGCGGATGAGGAATGCCCCGGTGTGTGTTCTGCAGATCCTCCGGCCTCCCTCTGATCATCTCTCAAAGAGCCCATGGGTCCCAGAAAGCTGCTATCTTTAACATGCTCTCTTCTTTGCACCCAGCCTAGAGAGGAGAAGGAAAGTGAGGCAGGCAGGAGTTCTTTCATATTGTTCTGACCAGACAAAAGAAAGGCTTCACACAAAGGAAGCAAAGCAGCAAGAATGCCAGAAGTGAGGGACGATGCAGGGAAGTTACTAAGGTGATAAATAACAGCTATTTCCTCTCCGATTTCAGTAGTTGTTATGGCAGCTGATGCTGCCTTCATCCCTTGGTCTCACCCCAGACATTGCAGATTATATTTTCGCAGGACTCTGCCTCATCTGGTCTTAGATGACTCCAAAGGGGCTCCCCACTGCATCCCTGGGCAGCCCATGCATAGCTCACCACTGTGACCTCACTGCTGGGAATTTCCCAGTAGGGCTGTTTTTCCTTTTCCCTCACACCCCAAGTTAAAGAAAAAGCCCAAGCCTGAAGACAGGACCTTTTCTAGCATCTTGTGCAGTATGATTTTATTGCTGGTTTGAAGGACTCCTCCTACCTACCTCCACTGTCTCCTTAGAAGACCCATGGGACTATGAAGAAATGGGAGTTGGGAAGGACTTGTCCCTCTATATTACACTACAGCATAGCCCTGCTCCATCTGCCATCAGATGAAACACTGCTTCCCATCAGTAAGCCCCTTGTAGATTAGGTCCTTCCTATGTGGTAACATTAAACCTTGAGCATGTGGTTCAGAGCTGCCATGAGGTAGGACTGTTTTATCCTGTTTACACAGTGGGGTACAGCATGTATCCAAGCTGTGATCCTTCCCCATGCCCCAGTCCCATGTCCCCCCTGCCCTTACCTCACAGGCTGTGTTCCAGGAGGAAAACGGCTGAAGGGGGAGGAATCCCTTTTGACCCAAATGTGCCGTGTGAATCCCGAGGGACATTTCTGAACCCCAAGCTTCTACCCTGCCAATAGATTATCCTGATAATTTATTGCTCTGTGGCTGCTTCTGCATCTCCTGCTCCCCACCCCCCTATTGTTTCCCTCTGCTCCCATACTGGATTAAGATGACTCTCCTTTTCTTACTGCCACAATCTCTCCATTTCTAGTTGCATTTTCTGTGTTCCTACTAGGCTGTCTATATTTAACTGCATTGATTCCTACATCCGCTCTAACCTGATATCAATCCATCCAAGTCATTACAATTATAAAATATATATAATGGGTATAAATATCTATATGCATATAAAAAACATAAAAACCACAGCCCTGAGCCAGAGGCTTGCTCTGTGCGAGAAGCCTGAGCTGTTACTGACTCGTAGGGCTGGGGAAGTGGTGTGTAACTCACCGCCAAAACCTTGCCCCTAGTCCTCGGAGATGCTCCATTAACCTAATCACTCTCTCTTTTACTGACAGAAAGAGAGGGGGAGGTGTATATGTGGGCAGGCTTAACGGCTGTCCTGCAGCCTGAAGATTGAAGAACATACGCCTTCAGTTTCCCTTTACTTCTCACCTCTGGGAACTCCCCAGCTTGTCTCAGGCACATGGCACTACCACACCCGGACTCACTCCCAACACACAACCATCCCAAGGTAAGGCTGCTCTATGCCACCTGCCTAGGTAGTCGGGCAAACCCTAACCTAACCTCTTGTGACCCCTGCGCTAGGGATCCCTTTTATTAGGCTTAACTAATGGCATCACTCCCATTTGTAACCATTCAGAAACTTCTTTTTAAGTAGTTCACTTGTGCCACAGAGAGCTCTGTGCACCCAAGTTCTGTGCTACACCTTTTTCCCTAGCAGAGGCAGCAGCAAACTCCTTTCACACAGTCCAGGTACACTGCCTTAACCCACAACCAAACATGTGCCTCAGGAGAGACAGGAAAATGTAATCTCCATGGTCCTTGCTATCCACGACCTGCAGAGGTACAAAGAACCAGGGCCCATTGCCATGGGAGCTTGTGAGATAGATGCTCACTAGGTAAAGCCCAGTCTTTGCTAATCTTTCCCTTCACAATGGGCCTCGCTGTGCTAAGCAATAATGCAGTGCCTAACACTCCACAGCCAGAGCTTTGCCCTGCAGAGAACTGAGTTTTCAGAGGATACAAATCACTAGAAAGGCTTTCTAGTGGTAGATTTCATAGACATTAGGGCTGGAAGGGACCTCGGAAGATCATTGAGTCCAGCCCCCTGCCCAAAGGGCAGGAAGTCAGCTGGGGTCATAGGATCCCAGCTTCAATTAGATTAGATAGAAAGCTTCAATTCTGCTCCAAAAGGTTTGTGAGCTACAGGCTCTTTAATTGTCATTGTTAAAGACTAACTATTGTATCTCCTACACCTCAGTGCAACAGCATTTTGGAAAGGAACTGCCAGTGATACAGGTGCACAGGAGGTGGCGACCTCTGGCAGGCTGATTTTTTATTTTTGAAGTAGTCAGCAGCCAGCTGCTCAGGTCAATCTAAAGATCAGGAGGGTTGCATCATTTCTACTCTGCCCACTGCTCCCCTGGAAAAGTGGAGGGATACATGAGATTTATCACAGAACTCATGCTCCACAGGGAGCTGTGACATGCCTCTCCCACAACCAAATGAACAGGTTGTAAAGTCCTAAGTAATTAGAGGCAGTATGGAAAGCTAAGGCGATACCACTACCGTTTGCCACTCAGAACCCAGTGCCAGCATTAGGTGGAGGGGGGGGGGGGGAAAGAGAACTTTACTTCCTTCAAGAGCACTGCCCCCCTCCAGCCCTCATGGGTTTGACCACCTGGTTTAAAATCTGTATCTGACCCCATGAGACCAGAACCCTAGACACCATGAATGAATACAGCTTTGATGAGACATCTTCATCAGCTGAGACTGTCCCACAGAATACTACTAGCACAGCTTTTCACTCATACTTCTTGCTGGGGGAGTTACGTGCCCACACTTACTGCACCCACAAATACTTTGTCCCTTGACTTTTCATTCAAGTTAGCAGCAAATGGCCTTTGGGCACCAGAAAATATCCAGACTCAGTGCATACTTTGCAGCATATGCACACAAACATCGACCCAATTCTGAACAGGTTTGATAAAGTTGCCTGTGTACTGCGATTCACCGTCGAGGTGACTGGACTCTTCTTTTCCTTCTCACCCAGACCTGCGTACAGTGGTCTAACAGACTGCCATTTTGTACAGCTTTCACTCTTTGGCCCCTGTATGCAGCCAAAAGCATTATTCACTGATGCCTGGCAAGTCCAGTGCATACACATCCAGTGACAGCTTCAAGAAAAGATCTGATTTTTTTGCATCTTTCACTAACTCCTGCCCTCCTTCCCTTCCCTCATCACAAATGCCGCTTACCTCTTTCAGCTCGTCATTCCTAAGTTCTTGGACATGAGGCCCAGGATTGTCCATTTCTGAGAATGCCAGCACAGCCCTTTCCAGTTTTTTCCAAAGACTTAAGAGAGAACAGATCTTCTCCTTGGAAAAGAGAGAAGCAAGTCAAATTAGCCATCGGTGAAATACAGTGGGTCACCAAGTCTGCCTGTCCTGACCCTTTTGTTCTGTTACCAGCCCCAATTTATGCTTTGTAGCATTTTTCAGACCATGACACCCCAATAATAAATCTATCATCACTGCCTTCAATCCTCAGAGGCAACTACAAGGAGCTTGATGTTTGCCACTGTCTTTTCAGCATTGAATAGCAACATTACAGGATATCTTAAAAACTATTTTTAATAATCAAGTGTTAGGTCCGATTTACAAGATCCCAAGTAGCACAGTCACAGTTAAGATTAAAAGCATCTTGGTCTACCAGTAGTGTACAGAACAAACATACAGCCTCTACTATTGTTGGACCATCTAGACAGAGGCACAATAAATTCTAACAGGCACTTTTCTGCCTTAATGCTTTACAATGTCCAAAGCTATTTTTATTGCTTCTGCAATATCAGCTGATCCCCATACCCAGTCACCCCTGGTGAAGCAGCATACACAGACCCTCATTCAATCACAGTCCTGCCAGTGGATTCAGCAAGCAGAAAAAAAAACAAAAAAACCCCTGACTTTCTGCAGGCCCTTCGAGGCACTTCCCCACTGCTCTGTTTATGTATAAAGTTTCATTATTTCACTTCACTGTCATTGGTTTGCACCGTTTGCAGCCTGTAACAGGCATTCCATCCCTACAAGGCAGGTTTAATTGCAATTAACTGAATTGGAGTTCAGTTTAATGTCCACACTAGTGTGACACAGTCAATGCTGCTATTATCTATTCCAGAATTCCCAGAACAGCTCTCAGCCGAATTCTGGGCAATTCTGAAAGGCTTTGCACATGCCTCTTTCTTAAACCTGAGGAAGGGCATGTGATGCCTGAAAGTTTGTCCAACAGCTCTCCTAGCTGCACAGTTGATCCATTACAAGATATCACAAAACACCCCTGCCATAGGTGCCCAAAAGTATTCGTAGAATGAAGGAGGCACGCTTCCACAACCCACAAGGAAAAGTCTGTGCTTCCCAGGAGCACAATATACAGCTTCCTGGAGTATGGAGACCCTAGCTTAAAGAATTTAATGTAATATGGAGTCTAGGCACAATGCCTGGCTTGAACTTTTGTTATACAAAATCTTTTAGCTGGATCCTGTTAAAGGCACTGCAAGTCGTGAGGTGGAGCAAAGTTCAGCATAAAGCCCAAGTGTGAATCTGGAAGAAAGAGCAGGGGCGAAGCAGACAGCAGTATACTTGAATGGTGGACTAACCTTGTTACCACAACAGTGACCTCCATCCACATTGGTACTAGCATGATGTAACATGCTATCACAACAGGGCATGTGTGCACAACCACAATAGAATCACTTACCCACACCAACACTAGAAACAGCTGAGACTATCATGGTTGGCTCAGAAAGGAGGTAGGATTGGAAAAGACCAGATAAGTAAGCAGTGAGCTAAATGCACAGATGCAAAACATGCTGCAGTTGTACTCAGGGGGGGGAAAATCTTAACTGCTACCTTGCAGTCAGGCCTGCAAGGAAGTTTGTAGTCGTCTTTATCTTTCACTGTACAGATACTAATATTGTTTAATTCAAGATGAAGGACATCACGGCTACCATGTAACAGGGTATTTGAAAAAGTCTAAGACTGAAACTGTCTCTAATCCTAGAGCATCCAACCAGGATGCAAAAATTATAGATCTCCTTAAGCTGCAGTCTAGTATCAAGAACCACATGTAGACTCAGTGACATTTCCTGTTTCTGTGCATTACAAACGAACAGCCAAAGCCACATACTCTTTGGGAATCAGTTCTATACGTCTTGCAGAAGAATTGCTCTTGCTTCAAGCATTTTGTGATTTGGGGGCAGGCAGGGTGAGACAGAGGGGAGGAAGGGGGAATGGATGGGTAACATCTTTATCCCCACTTTAGATATTTAACTTTCACCTACAGGTAAGTTCCACATACATCTTATCACGCTTTTTTGTCCCATGTCCCTTCTGGTTAGTTAGCTGAAGGTCTTTAATATTCCACATTGCTGATATAATCTGAACAAGGTTTCTACCCTCTCCTCCTTCCCCTCCCTTGCTAAGAAAAACAGTGATTTGATGCATTTTAAACATTCTTCACATCAGCCAAGTCTGTAAGTGTACTTTTTGTACAAGCCAATGACCAATTATCTGCAAATTAAGCTGTTTGGCCCTAGCAGCAATAGCAAAGTTTGTTATAGCCTGGCACTGCATATCAGACAAGCCATCTCCCTCCTGGAAGTCAAAGTTGTTTTGCAGTTTGCAGGTAACCAGCTGCAGTTTATTTTACTGCAAAGCTTCTCTAGTTTGTTGGCAGAAAAAACCTAACTGCTTGCCTTTCCAAGAACATAACTTCCTTTGGACTATTAAATTCCAGCATACAGTTTGGAAATTTGTCTTCTCCCTCTTAAAAAAAGAACAACAAAAAGAAATCAAGCTACTCTGCTAAGTTCAGTGACTACTGCAGTATTCTGCCCAGTCTACCCCAGCTCAGCTAGAAAAAAAAAGTAACTTTGCTTACCTTTTTGACCCATATAACTGCCTCATTTTTTATGGTAACTGTGAAACCCTAACAGTGCTGGCAACTCTCCTGATCTTGTAGTGAGTAATGGCTCCTCTTGGAAGAAACTACAGCCCCAAGGGCTCCCCAGCCTTGCTTGGAAGAAACCACCTCTGACTGGCTGCCTTCTCCACTTAACACGCCTCTTGGGGAAGCAGCATTGGCTGGGCAAGAAGGGCACCTTGGGCACAGAAATTAGTTTTTGGGGAAGGGGAGGAGAGAGCAAGGGAAGCAACAAATACCATTTTCACTGGAGAGTGCAAGCAGATCAGGTGGACACTGTTCTCCCCACCTCAAAAAAAACAACTGTGATGCCTCCTTCCTCCTCTCCTCTCTAAAGTACTAGCCATGGGAAGAGTGGGAAGAGAATAACCCATGGAGCTGCACCCCTGATCTCTAGGACTGGGGCATGGGAAAAAAGAGAATGGTTTGGTAGATGCCTTGCAGACCTGGGGAAGGAGGGGAAAAGACCCTGGAACTGCAGGGTCACGGAGGGGCCAGGACAACTTGCGGGTGCGGAGGTGCACAGCAGATTGATGGGCTGGAATAGCGCAGAGATAGCGGGTATTTTGGGAAGCAGCTGGAAACTCCACATCATCAGATAGTCAGTCAGAGACACCCTGTAGGAGGGGCCATGGATCCTTCTCCATCTACGTTTGGAACAGTGGGTGACAATGGTCACAGACACAGAAATGGTCTCCGAGCAGCAGGAAGTAAAAACAAACGAACATACAAATCTATAATTTTCTTCACCCCTTACCCCAAAGCACTGCATTACAGACAGCCTTATCTGGCAGCTCAAGCTGTCCTTCTTCCTCCCCCAGGTGAGGTCTCTTTGCTCCAGTCCTACCCAGGTGATCTCCCCATCTGACTAGCTACTTGGTTGCTGCGGTGCCAGTTTCATAGAGCAGAATCATAATGTAGAAGAAACGGGCCATCAGTGGTCTCGTCATGGTTATAAGACGGACCTGCTGATCAGAGGAAGGATCCGAGTGCATGGGGATAACAGAGATCAGAGAGGCAACCAAGTCTAATATTGGGTAGCTCCGACTACCTAAACCAGTGGTCTCCAACCTTTTTAAGCAGGAGATCACCTTTGGCATTTAAAAGCAGCCCAAGCTCTACTGTGCGTCACTGCCACCCCACCCCCTCTCTCAGCAGGTAAGTCTGTGGGGAGGGAAGGGGGGGCAGATTGAGGCATAGGGAGAAAAAATTATTTGGGGGCACGCCAGGTAAATCCCATCCAGCCGGGGCCCCACTCAATTTACCCCTGCTTCTGCCTCTGAGGCACTGTCCCTCACCATGGGGCGGCCTCGATCTAGCCCCTGCCCCTTCTCTCCCACATGGACTGACCTGCTGGGCTGGGGCATGTATGTGCATGCACCTGAGCACTCAGGCCCCCACCCCAGCCTTGGATCGACTCCAAGAGGCTCCAAGGTAACCAACGACCTAAACAAAACATTAGTGAAGTGCCCCAATTGGAAAAGGTTTAGGGAAAAAAAATGACACTTTAAAAGGCTGTTTCTAGTCTTAGGGCACACAGGAAGAGAAGACATCCTCTAATTTCTCCTAAATTACCCATAGGAGTTGCTCCTAAAAGAAACAATATAGTTAGGCCGTTAAGAAACAATGATTGCAATATCCTCTGAGCCGATTACATTTAAAAGGAGAAAGAGACCTCACATTGTGACACTGGTCTTTAAAGTGGGGGATTTTCTAAAAGCACTCAAAAGGAAATTAAGGAGAGAGCCCTGAAAGTAAAAACACTAGAAAATGTAAATTCAGTGTGGATCTCCTCAGACAACCCTAGCAGATTTACAGCACCATGCACACCCTTAAACAAACTAGAAAGCAGTGAGGTGAACCACCATGACTAAATTGTAACATTCGAGAGACTATTCAAGCCAAAACCATCAGGTATTGTTTGCAACTGCAGTGGCAAAATAGAGGCTCCAGTCATGGCTGAGGGACACCACGCTCAAAACAGAACACAAAAATGGCCGCTACCCAAACGTGCTTGCAAGCCAAATGAGCAGTCAGAAAATGAAAATCTAACCTTGGTGAAGCTGATAAAAGGACCATTGAAAGGCAGTGTGTGTATGTAACTTAGGACAGCAAGCACCCAGGATAGCAAAGAAAACAAAACCCCCAAAACAAATAAGTAGCGTTTTAGTGCATCAGAATCATGAAACTGCAAGAGAATCATTATATTCACTAGACTACCAGCACCTGAAAGGATAGGGACACTTCAGAGAAGCTAAATGATGATTACACTGCATCAACTTTTTATTACAGAGTATGTTGAAAAGCTGCCTCCCCCCAGTCCTATTCTTTTCCAGTTACTTAAGTTAGAAAGTACCAGACATTAAGATATCAAAAGAGGACATATAGAGAGAAAAGTTAA